GAAGTTATGTTTCTTTGACAAAATTGGACAGAAAAAGGACTTTTTGTCCATCCAGATAATCTTGAAGACACAAACATTTTTCATCTCCTCAGCTTGTAAGTCCTTAGGCTGAGTAATATCAGGCGCAGTAGGATCTCTGCATTCACAACATGAACTATTCTCCTCCAGAGTTCAACCATCCAAGCCCAGTACTGCTTTTCATTAAGATCTCTGTTACACCAAGGTAAACAAGACAACAGGCCTCAGTAAACTCTCATTAACCTGAGAGTGACTGATGACCCGCAGAGAGAGTTATGACTGAATGTGCAGAACGGTGAGAAATGGACAGACTCTCATTTCCCAAAACTAATCCATTTACCACTCAACACGTCTCTACTGCTCGTCATCATGGGATTGTTAAGTTTAGAGTTTTGAGGTCTAGAGGATCATCTGTCCGTCCACCGCTGTCAGTCCGGACTCCTGGAGACGAAGGAAAGGCAGGCTGACAGTTTCACGGCTTCCCCTCAGAATGCAGTCAAGTGTTTTTGTGTTCAATCAACCATCAAACACGGCCATGTCTGTGCCAGTGCACAGGGAAAACAACACATGAAGCCAAAAGCCACTGCAATCACCCTGAAAGCCCCGTACAGATAAACAGAGGACGGCCCTCAGCAGCAGGACCAGAACCAGGACCAGATCAACATTCCGTTGTAAAACACTGTGCTGTGACATCCGCTCATTTGTAGAAGTCAGCACCTTAACAAAATCGACACAGTTTAAAGTATTTTGTGGTACTTTCTATTTGTAATCTATACGGTTATGACTGACTGGTGATTTCATATAGACCGCTGTTATTATTCCTTTTTCAACGGATAAAAGAAAGTTTGGCACAAACCGAATATCCGCCCCAAGCTAGATGTTTGATGAAATACATGAGCAATATGTCAACTATTTAGATCAAATAATCCACACATGCTTTGTGATCACAAAGACCTCATACAGTTTGTTGCCTCCAAATGCATCAACATCCTACAGTCAAAATGGTATGGAACATTTTCTTTCTATGGGAAGAAAAGAGCTAAGGAAGTTTTCTGCTGTGAGCCGGACATGGGAAATTAATTTATATTTATTTACAATAAATAAATACATTTAATATTATATTTATTACTTTAAAAAAGTACTTTAATTCACTTTAAGCATTTAAACAAAGTTATTTGCAGTTTTTTTGTCAAATTACAGTACAGTCACTAGTTACAGTAGCACAGGAACAGAGAAAATACTGTGTTCAACCGGCACCTGTTTATTACAGTCATTATGCAGCTACCTGAACGGGTGGCTGTGTGCATCTGGCATGACTTCATACAGCAAAGCAACTACTGCAATGTTAAGTAATCATAAAAGTGCAGATGTAGTAGTTAATATCCACCTCACTCTGTGTTATTAAAAACTGATGTCGGACTTCAAACGACCACGTTACAGGAACTGCCTTTTACGTTGGTTGCAAGAGGAATAGCAAGGTCTCTGCAAACATCTCTGGTTTTACCCACTGTAAAACCAACTTTAGCCACTGTAGCATTAGCATTAACGACTTAGCATTAGCATTAACGATTTTAGCTGTAGAATCGATGTGGTCAAAGTAAGTCATTTTGTTGACAATACTTGGTATGTACTTTCTTTCTGTGAAGATGTACTGACCATAAGGCTGAGGGCCTGTAAAATACAGAATACTTTATACTCCATTGACAGGGGTCTTTTCCCCCCATGAAACATGTTATTTTATATTTGACCTAAATACATTATTTTACACACATTTGAAGCATCTGTATGATGTGCTTTGTTAAAAAAAACATTATGTCAATCTCTATAAAACACGGTGTGGGGGAAAAAATCAGAATGATTCATTTATGCATTCTCAGATCAGTGCACATTCTATTTTACACCATATCAGATGGTATGAGGGAATTCCAGATCGACAAGCACCTGAAAATAAACTGAAACAGACTACTCTTTGAAAGAGGCTGCATTTTTCCTCTGGTAGAAGTTACTTGGAGGGGCAAAAAAAAAAAAAGCATACATTTGGTACACTTTTCTTCCACCCCTTTCACATCATCTTCCAAAAAAGCACTGTGTCTGTGAAACATCTGCGAAGCATTTTCCAAATTAAAAATAAATTAATAAATAGTAATGGCCGTCAGGTGCTCGGCCAGGATTTTCAGTCTATTTTAGCAGCATGTGGCTTCATGGTTCGTAGTAGTTTACCTCAGGCCTTGGCATTCAGCAGCAGGCTGAAACAAAAGAGACTGACCCAGGGCAAACATACATATTTACTAATAAAGTAAACATAGCAGAACTTATTTTATTTTATTTATTTATTTATTTTTATTTTTTTTGGCTACTGCAGTTTTTCCATTCTGAATTACTGAGCTTGAATTGCAAATGTGTCTGTGCTTAGAACAAGGTTAATATAAGTGTGAATATAAGGTTCAGTATACCAATAACGGCAGATATTACATAACTAATAATACCTTAAATATGTAACAGGGAAACAACTCACGCAAGTCTTGACTTTCAGTACTGTTGTTGAGATGAAGGCTTGGTGTTTCTTGGCAACTATAAACACTATGTATGACCTGCAGTACTGTACTTAACATGTACTTCAACATGTATCTGACCTTTGAATATAAAATAGATGGTACGCTTTTTAGAATGAAATTTAACTATTTTTTGCCAAAAGGCAATTAAGAAGGCATTAAGAAAAAAAAAAAGATTTTAGAAACAAACAATTCAGGAAACTAAATGTCCATACAGCCTTTTCAATAGGTTAGTTAACATTGTCTCACTGTTAACTAACACTTAAATTATAACGTTTAATATGGAAGCTACTTTTATGGAGAGAAAGATTTGAGGCACCTGCCCTCGACCAGCTGCCACTTTTATACCACCTCTGGTATTTCACTTTGTTTCACATTGTTTCTATTTTCTGAGTAGTGAAGGGCAGCAATTCACTAAACGTTGCCATGCTGCTGGAAACAGGAACGTACAACATTCCTGGCTGAACGTTTATGGAAATGTCCAAAAATATTTTCTCGTTTTGTCCGAGCTGCTGCTGCGTTTTCTTGCGTTATCTAAAACAAAAATCATTTTGGGGCCTTCAAAGCTTTCACAGACTCAATCGCAGAGAAGTGACGACGATATGTTTTTGTGAAGATTGACGATTAAAAACAGCATTAAAAAAATAAATGGGTCACATGTTAAGAGATTGTTATTTTAATTGATGATGTATGTGGTTAAACAGAGCGAGGAAACTATGTCAAACTCATATGGTTTGATAACCACCAGATAACAAGCGTGTTATGATAATTTGCAAATCATTTGCTGGCCTCAACACATTCTTCTTTTTTTTTCTGTTCTGCACTGATGTTTCCTCACGGCTGTATGTCGATCAAAGGCCTTTCATACGCCATTAACCAGCAAGTGCTGTTATAACAACCCAAGACTGCTGCCAGGTTTGACACCTGTGCCTGGATTCTGCTGGAAAATTAAACTCAACTAGAAAAGACAAACACAAATAATATATTTATTTATGTTTGTTTTACAATAGAGTAATATAATAAATAATACTGTAATATAGGCTCTCATTAACTGTTTTTCCCACTTCCTGTTTGACTTTGGTTTGCACTTTATACTTTGCCATTTTATTTCCCACTCAAATTACACAGTGACATAGATGTGTCTGACATGTTCTGTTCATGAGCATGTCTGGTCACAAACAATGATTCTGACCATGAAATTAAAGTAATAAAAATATGTGAGTAACTTCTAAAAATACATAAGTGCTTGAAGGATTTGCAGCTTTTAAGCCTTTAGAGAAGTAGCTTTACTCTTTAAACTAAATGCAATTTTTTTATTTTGCTGGTTTAAAAGAAAGCACATGTACTGTAGTATGATGTGCTGCCAATGACCTGCTCATCAAAACGTTTCATTAATCTTCCTTTCAGCTCAAGCCCATACGTTATGTGTAGTGTTCCATTATATCACTTAAACTCCTGTCAGATGAAATTTAACGTGATGTCAACTTGTGGCTTTAATCTTTTCTTCTTTTATCCGCTGGACGAAATTAAAATCTAGTTTCTCATTAATCTTATCTTTGGAGCCCGCAGCGTTGAGGGACAGTTCTCTGCCCCCTGCTGTGTTTTCATACAGACCGTATTCCTGTAGTTGATGGATGCAGGTTATTGCAGATATGACACAAAGCATTTAGTCATGGATTCAGCCACAGCAGGAGGTCAGACAGCAAGTTGGGCTTTCGCTGGTTTTGCTGTAGTCTAATGTGAACGATGATTTCAGGAATGCTCCGATGTATAAGATAAAAACAGATTTGCAACAGAATATGTAGAAAGACAAGGTCAGGGTAATAAACTGAAACATTTCTACTCTTCATTTACATGTGAAAGTCGTTGAATTTCTACCTAACTGAGGTGTGTAAGTATTTCAGTTTGAATCTTGTCATTAGTCAATCGAGTAGATCGCTACGTTGCTTAGAAGGTTTTGTTAGTTCTAGTAAAACTGTAACATGGAACCTGAGGAAACAAGATCCAAGAGAGTGCGTGTGAGAAGAGGTTTGGTGAAAGAGTAGAAGAACAAGTGAGGGACTTTGTTTGCATTCCCACATAGTGTTTATATCACTGGTGTGGCACGCAGTGCAGCCCTGCTCTCTAGGACTGAGTGCAGGTCTGCAGGAGAAAGGTGTGTGTGCATTTGTATATGTGTGTGCGCGCAAGACTATCTGTGATGAATTATTCTTTCTAGGATTTAGTACAAATTTCTAACAGCAAAGTGAGCAAAGGGGTTAAGGAAGAAAGGATTTTTACTCACAAGTATTCAACAAAGACCATATTTCCCTCAGTCTGTGTGAGTATGTTATAAACCAGACAGAAGTCCTGAGAACAAGGAAACTTTAGGCATTGACTGAACAAAAATAAATACTGCAAAATGCACTGACAGCTGCTCTTTTTCCTCAGGTGAACCACATTTGTACCAGAATAAATCCAACATAACTACCAGCCTACAACAACACAGCTGCAACAGCAAAAGTCTGCCAGCCCATTCCTGTGGTGTCAGGGTCCAGGGGGTGTCGAGAGAGAGCTGACCCCCGATGTACAGCAAATAAAACTGATTTACAGCTGCTCCGCTGGCTTCACCACACTTTATAAAACTGTCCTGAGCAGAGTTACGACCCCCAGGTAACACATCTTCAGACCCACACTCAGGGCACATATAAACACATACAGTACTTAAAGGCACACACTCACCCCTACACACACCCACACACAATCACACGCATGAAAATGAGAATATTGCTCAGAAGTAGTCTCATGGACATGCTAGCACAGACATTAACACAGACATGTGCAGAAAAGCAAAAACAAACCTTTTAAGGGAAAGAAAAAGATTCACATAAAATAACTATGTCGGACATTTTTAAGACCCCACTGTATGATTTAAACACATGAGCATGTGTTGTTGTTACTGCTGATAGATGGCATTTTAAATTACATATTCACTTAAATCCACAATGTTCCTTACATTAGTGTTACATAGTTTCTTTTACCGTACCAAGGCATTCAATAAAATTGAGATCAACCAAATACTGTAAATATGTGTGGAAACAGACAGAAGACGAGGGCGGAGTGAGAGAAGTTCACATTACTTGCATGTTTACATGAGGGTGAGTTTTGCCTGCTCGGCAGTGCCATGCTCCAGGGGTGTTGAGCAAAGTGGAGGTCCCAGCATGTGGAAGGGGGTAGAGTGCAAAAAAAAAAGGAAGAGTAACATGCTGGTGGATGCAGCACTTCTGTGTTTCATCACACTAATCTCACGCAGAAAGCTGTCTTTATCATTCTGTCTCTGCTACTGTTTGGGCACATACGGGGGCAACGAAATTCAGCCCCCACTGTAAGAAGAACAGTAAAAAAAAAAGATTTTATGGAAATCAGGCTTCTACACTAATACCTATTTTAGTTGTTTTCAAGGCTTTAACAGCAGGGTTGTCACAATCCAGGTACACTGCAAAAAAGGGATTTAAAAAAGTGAATTATCAACAAGTAAAAAAAAAAAATAATATTGTTAAGCTTGTTTTGAATATTAACCTTGTATCCTTTAAATATATTATAGCTTACTGCTTGCCAATAACATACTCCAGCCAATTGAGCTTGAAATAACCACTAACTCGGCACAAAATATTTCTACTTGAAGCAACAGGATAATTACCTTAAATGTAGGAAAACCTGTCTAGTGTTAAGGAATTTCAGGCTTTCAACAGTAGTACTTTAAAAAAAAAGAAAAAGGGAAAAACACACAAAAATTAAATAGTTCAACCTCATGTCAAATGCTTTTGCCCAAAACAAGATGAACTGATGAAATTCAAGAAGATTTTTCTTGTTTACATAAGTACTAGCTATAAATACAAGTCCGAAGCAAAAGAAAAAAAAAGTCCTAGTTGTATTTATTATGGTATATGGTGTCTAATCTGTGACTAGGCCAAGTGCTGCAAAATTTAAAAAAAACAAAAAACTTCTGTACCCAGGATATAATCTGTTATTATCTCTGCAGAACTACGACCAGTATCACATCCAATACCCTGAACGCTGTTCAGTTCCAAAAAAACACACAAAGTAATATTCTTCAGTTCTTGAGGGTCGGTGCTAATTATGAGATGACTATGTGTGAGTGGAACTGATAAGACAGTGATGAACCTGAACCTATTAGTGCGAGGGCTGAACTCCTCTATGAGGAGATTGTACAGAGCTGTGTCAACCTCCCACCACCACATGCAGAAATGCTGCACATGCATTCATACTAAAACACAATCCTCACGTTAAAATAAAAACCAAAAAAATAAATGTATTTGTTCTGGCATTATCTCAGTTATGACAGTTATACAGACTCAGCTGCCACACAGCTGGACACATTTGTCCTCCGCTGCTTGTCTTTCTCTGTGGGTAAAAGGCAAGGACTTTAACTCCTGCCACTCTCTCCCCTCGACTGCCTTACTCTTCAACCCTGTGCTGACATCCACTGACACTGAGCAGATGTGTTGTGTCTTATCTCGTCCTGACCTGGAGCTCCTCAGGAGAGCATCTGACAAAAAAAAAAAAAAAGTTCAACTTGAATTTGATTTTCAGAGCAGCTTGAGGCTGTGTCCAATGAAAGGTATCATATGGATCTGTTTAAGTTGGAGGTTATCTCACAGAGTTAATGACATAAGTAGAACAATGCTACCTTAGACGTTCTTCTTCTTTAAATAAGTTTGTGACGCCCCATGATTCAGTCACACTATTTCAGCAGCAGCTGATCATAATAAAATGTTGGTGCTGAGACTAAGCAGATGTGCTGCATGTTATCTCGTCATGTTACACTGCTACCAAAAGTCCAGCCCTCACTCTGTGCAGGACCCTGCCTGCATGCTGCCCTCCTCTGTGGCTCTCTGATTAACAGCAGCTGTCAGCGCAACAAAGGGACGACTATTATTAACTATTAACTTTCTGGCGGGCGACACAGAACTCTTTTACTTCTGTCTCTTCCTCACGCAGCTTCCTTTTGGACACAATCTATACAGTACTCCATGTGTATGTGGGTCACCTTGTCCTCACTTCTCCTACCAGTCAAACTCAGTGTGATGCAGTCTGCGGCCCATTAGAAACCAGCAGTGAGATGTGATCCTGGAATTAAAGTTGGTTCAGACTGGGTCACTGCAGATAGACAGAGAGTGGTGTGGAGTCAGCAGTAAGAGGGAAGAAAGGAAAAGAAATACTACAGAGTGGATACTATTGTACTAGTAGCCTATGCAAGTGTTTATTATCAAATGGAGGAGCATGCTAATGTAGCATTGTATGGATTTATGTTGATTCTGAAAATATAAATAAAAAATATGGGAAATTCGCACTAATGTGACCCAGTGTCTACAGAATATAAATGAGCTGATCCGACAAGAAAACTGTCACAAACTACAATTTACGCTAACTGTGGCTAATCAAAGACAACCTGGTGTCTAGAAATGAACCAAACATGAGAGCTCTTCTCAGGTACAGGTGCAGCAGCTATTTTGTTTCAAACAGAGCAAACTGTCATCCCCTCTGATGTGGGGAGGGAAGGGGAGAGAGAGGGATGAAGCCACCAGGAGACAGGAACCTTCAACACTGTTATGGTTTGACAATAGATTATTTCTCCCTGGCCAAACAGTTGGTTTGTGTGCAGCCAAAGTTTGGAAGTTTGGTGTTTCTCTGTATCTCTCCCTCCTCCTCACCCCTTTCCTCCCCTTCTGTTTGCAGACAGACTGACATCACACTGGCTCTGTGATCTGACCTTGCGCTGACCTGGGCCAGTATCTGGTTCACCTGTCCAGAGGGGATCTCCACATCATACAGCCAGGTCATTACTCTTTATCATTGTCATCTTGTGACTGTGCACTGAGCTAAATATGAAAAATTATCAATATTTATTTATAAAAACTTTTATGACAAGTTAATGACGTAGGACATCTTTACACCACTCCTCTTCTTCTGTGTTGGTCTGTAAAGTGCAGGTGGATGGTATGCATTTCTGAGATGGACAGGGTAAAAGAAAGACCCAGGAGTGGGGTCTGTGGGGGGAGGGGTGATGATCAGAAATGGCCCTTTTGCTCCCTCCTGTGGGCAAAATGGTCCAATATAACCCATCAACGGTTTTGTCAGGATTCCAATACAAATACAGTAAAATACTGCGATAAAAAACACATAACTCAATAGCACAAAATGAATAGAGTTGGTCAGTAGTGCACCTTAAGGCCAGTTGTCTATTGTCTTCTGCACATTGATAAGATACTCATGTTAGCTGTAGTCATTTACAGCAGCACTAAAACAATGATTTTACCCACACTGCTAACTTCTAATGTTCAGTTTTGTAGAACTCTCATCTGTTTTACTCAGATGAATACAACCAAGTGCATTTAGGGTAACGTAACATTTTGGACAACTGTAAGTGAGAATTCTCAGCAATATATCCGACCTGGTCATGAGAAGATCTGTGGGAATCCTGTAGGTTCTGATGAGATCCACATGGAATTTCTGACACGTTTCTCAAATTAGTAATTTTAAAAATGTTCCCTTGTATTTGTATTCCTAAAACTCATAATGTAAACATCCAATGAGGATTTTTTTTAAATGTTCGACCTTTTGGTCAGACTTTACAGTGGAGAGAGCAGCTCACAGCCGTCACCTCTGCACGACACCCATCCATCCACCGCCGTAACAGGAGTGCATCGGAATGACCGTCCGTGCACTTGCCACAACAAAAGGTCATGGAGAATGTGTGTGTGCGTATTTCATGACAGGGACTTCTTTGGTTTGGTCTACTTAGCCTCTGTCCTCTCATCAAAGGACACAGGTGAGAGCAGCTTTGTGGATCCTCACTTCTCATGTTTCCTTTTCAGCTCAGGGAGTGCACATCAAAGACCCTGGCTTACAGAGTACAAATACACACACACACATATCATAAAATATGTATATATATATTTATATATCTTAGCACTAAATCCAGAACCACACCGTTATCTGTGAGACTGCAAGATTACAGATACTTTTTTTTCTGAGAAGGGATAGGGGAAGAAAGGTGAACTGATCTAATGAGAAGTGATAAACTAAGCCTCATTTTAAAGCCATATTTATCCAGTATATATGGACCATCATTGTTTTAAATCAAAGCCTTATTCTCCTGTACACCGTTGCCAAAACAGGAATAGAAGAGGCTATAAAAATGAACATTTATGGACTCCAGGCATCTAGAGTAGCTAAGTACGGCCTGTGGACATTGCTCATCTGGTCCATATATAGAACAGTATCGAGCTGCCAACCGCTCAGAATTTAAGAGTGTTTCCCTCTTCTGGACCTGCATGAAGGAGACCTGTCAGACACTGCTAGCTAGCCAGTGGAGTAATGCTGGTGCTGTAGACCAGCAGCCAGTGTTTCCTTGACAAACAGTTTGCAAATACAAATATGTAATATAGAGTAATAATAATGTAATAATAGACCAGCAGAGAACATGTTAAAAATCATGTTGAGGGGTTACATCATATCCTGAGCTGATGACGACCTTTGACTGCTCTGGTGCAGTACATTGACTGCTGAAAAAAGATTGTGGCGGAAAATCCGACAAGGTGACTCATCACCTGAGTCTCACGTCACACAGCAGTACTTGTGTATTTGTTCAGATCTGTACACATGCAGCTGCACAGTTTTCTGGGAAATTTGCCTGATCTGTGCCCAAAGTTGACTGACCTTTTTCAACAGCACAAAGTTGTTATTATTTTATACTGCGCCTAAAAGTACTTGAATTAATAAACAATATATATAATCAAAAATAAAATATAATGTAATGCAATTTTTGAGCAATTAATGGTTAATGCACAGATATATTTTCAATTCAAATTGAACCCAGTACACCTGGAACTGAGACATAATGTTAATGATTAAAAAAATCTAAATTATATTTGTTTTCAAAATAACTTCGTAAAATCGTAACTTGCCAACTAATTAATAAATGAAAAATCCTCCAAAAAAGGCGATTGTCTGTGGAACAAACAGTCCAACATGTCATTAATACAGTGTGCTCAGAGAAACTGAATGATCAATCATCCCTGTTCTTGATCTTTTATTATAAAATCAAACAGTCCAACATTTGTTGGACTGTTCCACCAGTTACCCCTGCAGGTATATGGCTTAGATCACAAAGCCGGGTTTTCTTCTGTCCACATATATCATATGTCTTATTAAATGCAAACTAAATCCATAACTGTAACGTTCAGGATCATCTGTGTTTTCATGGCTGTCTCAGTTACAAGTGAAGGAATGCAGTTTTTCTCAGTGGTTCCAACACAATAACACATCATCAGTTTATTTATTTTTGTCACTAATCATAGGCACTGAAACAGGAGAGTTGTCAGTCTATGTTGAAGAAATCTAATATTCCAACTTACACGCATGATATTATTCACCGTATGATGACATAAACCCGAACCTAAATAGTATTTTCTTTCTGTTTTCTTTTTTATTCACCTTCTATTACAGTTCTTTTACCCCGCCTAAGAGTTGAAGTTAAAGTAAACTGAGACAGTTTTTCCTGTATGAGGTCAGCTGAAATTATTTCATATTATGTGTATGTGCAGTTTGTTTCTACACATATACTCAAACCTGCTGCCAATGTTGGCGTCTTGGCACAGCCATCGCTACGAAAATAAGCCCTAAACAATACAGCATCTGCTGGCCCAGCTTGATGCTGCAGTGGGATTAGCTTACTTCATTACCAAACATAACGTTCAGTCAGTCTTCAGGAATGACTGCTGAAAGGAACCAGAACCTGCTGCTTAAAAGGAGCCATAACAAGCTCTGGGCCGCAGCACAGTCACAGTCATACAACATTCTCATCAGGAGCAGGAGCTGAACTGTTAGTTGAAGGAACAAAAACTGAGACAATATGTGGCGGGAAAAATTTGGAAAATATATTTAGACTAAACAAGAGCCAGTGGGTGAGCAGATGGATGGATGGATAGATGGATAGAGTTTTAGGTTAGGGTTAGGATTTAACTGATTATGCCATTGGAAGCCGTATGAATGTCCCAAAAGATGTCCCAAAAGAAAAAGCTTTACAAGTCTCTCCCTCTCCCTCTCTCCTCCCCTGTCAGTGTGTACATGTGTACCCTCCCTCACATTTTTGCCTATATAACAGGCCCCCAATTTCTTCCAATGTTTCTCCAAGGGGCAATTCACAAACTGTATATCCATCACTCAAATGGTCATTAAATCACTGTCCTTACATCGCTGCTACCTGGATCTGGATCTGATTTCCAGCTAAAGGTGTTAAAGGACACATACTTCAGCCCATTACTTTGTGGATCTGGGCTTTTGCTATCTAATAACAGACTCACTGTAGTGTTTTAGGGCCCACTGCCAAGTCGTTACTGTCAACTTACTCAAATGAATGAGAACAGGTGAGCACTACAAAACTGTTTCAATAATTGAATAGGTGAGTTCGCTCTTGTTTCTTTCAAATACACTTGAGAATCCTCACTGTGTTTTGTTCAGATACAGAGTTTGATCTTTTGAGGCTGAAGCAGCTCACCTGCTCAGGATTATCCAAGGTTAACAGAGTCAGAGGTCACACAGGACAAAGACACTTTCACACATTTGCCTGTACTGACTAATAGTAAATCACCTTAATGAGAAGGATCTTTTTTCTTTTTGTTTTACTGCTGCCTTCATGTCCTACTCCTGAGCGGAGCTTGTTTTTTTTTGGTAGTAATTCTACATTTCCTAGCAAAAACAATGATTTCATGCACAACTGCTTTATTATGGACCCAACAATTACCTTGTATTGTATGGTCTTCATAAAACTGCTTAAAAACAATATTTGATTAGTAAAACCTAGCATAGCATAAACAACCTAACAACACTTTCTTGCATTTTATAACAATTACATAAGCATAAAATGGCAGCTTTTGTTTTAAAGATTTAGCAAGTTCTTAATAATTACTGTAACTAACATTTCTAATACCAAAATCATATAAACTGTATTACTTTAAAGAAAATCATTTTCCCAAATGGCATAGAGACAGGGTCCTAACACCAGCCCACCACAGAGACATCTGCCTTGTACTGTGCACACATTCCCAACATTTGTTTAGTGACATCTTAACAGTGGAAAAATATACCTCACTTCTGGGAACACGGCATCAGTGCTGATGCTGTTGTGAAAAAGCAGTCAGGTACTGGAGTGTGTGCCAAGAAAGTGAAGAGCATCTAAAGTTCCCTCACTGCATCCAAGCCAGTTCCTTCTGATGTAATGCCCCCCGTCCCACCCCCACCCATCACTACACCAAGACCACTTTCAGTGCTGGCAGCCAATAAGACTCAGTCCCATGCTGCCTACATGGCATGTCTGTTTTTTATTAAAGGTTGGACCTTTTTCCCCCTCATTACACAAATGTTCCTTTTTTTCTGAAATAACCATATCATGATAAATGACTGCTGGAGGCACACACAGCGCTACATTGCAGGCACATGAACCTTTGATGAAGAACGAAGGGATGAGAGGTGTGAGGCTGGTGACGGGAAAGAGGGATGAAGTCCTATTTTTCTTCCTTAAATGTAAAGGTTCCCCAGAGACTATTTCAATAAGTCATCAAAAAGTAAATTGCTCGGTTTATTTGACTGAACGCAGAGTGGCTTTCAAGAAAAATTACTTCAGTTCTTATGAAGTTGGAAAGGAATTTCTCGCCCCACTTCCTCCCAGTAGTATAAGTGTACCTTTGCATGTGGTGTTGATCTTGATGTGTGCAGCAGTGTGGTGGAGACCTGCTCCGACAGTTTTGTATCTAAGGGCTTTTTACAAAAATGTCAAATTTACCAAAACGACGAATGGTGCATGGTAGCGGTCATAGTTAAAGCCTGTTTTCTGCCTCCTGTAAGCTGCAGGATCTGTGTTGACTGTTCAGATCATGGTCCAGTCCAGCAGCATGTGAAACACATGTAGTCTGTTCCCAGTATGAGGTGGGCTTTTCCGTGAAATGCCACCGGTGGAACACCTGCCAGTCATGCTTAACATGGCTGCTGTTTGGAAATCGTCCATTTATCTGAAAATACCTCCGCATTTTATTGATGCACCGCTAGATGTTCACAATGGATTACAGTGTATCCGTTCAATTCAACAGCTGTATTACCTTTATAAAAGATGAAACCTGCTCTTGAAGAATTATAGATGATTATTAGTATTATTATTAGTAGTAGTAGTATTTTTCCATGAAAGTATAAAAGTGTCACGGTGATTTGTGAACATTGGTATCACAGCAACAGAAAACAAGAAACAGTTTGTGTACATTTTCCATAAACTTTTATACCAAAAGCCAGTGAAGTCCACTTTTCCTGACACATGCCTAACTGTGTTGCTCAATGGTGAAAAAGTTAGCTTCAATAAACCCAATTTACGCAGAGATCTGTTTGTCATAATTTAAGGGGGAAATGCATGATATTACTTTTTTAGACAAAAATGAGACACATTTCACCAGCATGTTGTTCTCTGGGCAGCTCTAAATGCTGCATGGATGGAATTCAATGTTGGTCCTGGCCTATGCCAAGCCTAAAAGCTGTAACAACAAATACAAGCACTAACTCAAATCTGCAGGGATTATTTGGTTTGACTTCACTGTCTGGCAAAGCTTTTCTGCCAGTTGGAGTGGTGGAGAAGGAAACAGATTTAAGAATGTTCTTCATTTGGGTTCTTTTTATCATCTCTATTTATCTTTTATTTTATATAGTTTAAAAAATCATGTGTCAAATAAAAAGAAAACAAAACAAAATAATGAATTGCATGATCTGAAAATTCTCCAATATTTTTCATTTACAGATAGAGAGATGGACGTTTCTGGATTTTATTTATCTTTTAACAGTAAAAATCTGAATTACATTGAAACAAAAACAGTTTTGTGGATTTAGATTATACCAATAAGCCTAATTTTGGCATGTTTAACACAAAGAGCATTTAGATTCTCTAAAACTAAAGAGAGATCCATAGCTCAAACAACAATGTGTCATATTTTGAAATTTTGGAGATACTAATGCTTTGTTCTAGAGCAAAGGTTCCTACAGTGGGGGGTGAGCCCCCTAAGAGATGCTGAGCTATTGCAAATTGTCACAGCAAGGCAAATTAGTTTACTTTCAATATTTTATCGATTTCTGTAATTTGTTCCACAGCAGGGAAAATAATAATGTTTTCATTCCCTTTGTTCAATGAGAATGGTCGTCTGGTAGGAATTAGAGGTCATTTCATTTTTAAAGGAAAGGAATTGTCCAATCTTAAAAGGAGGGAGGGGAGGGGGATTCAGCAAAAATGTTTTGGAACCACTGTGAAAGACAGACAATATCTTTCGCAGTATCTCAATGGACAAATAAATAGCTAAAGATGAAGAGAGTCTGAGAGAAATAGCAGACCTGCTGTGGTTTTTAGTTTGTGGGATTGTGTTTAAGTCAGAAGGCTGAGCTAAAGAATGGTAAAAGTGTGCTGGAGGCTGATGATGCACCCCACTGCCCCTAGAGCGGATAGTAGAAGGTCCTAGAACCTAAGATTAAGTTGAATGAACATGTCATATAATGGTACTCCACTATATGAGAGTGGTCGTCTGAGAGAAGTTGCAGGAAGTTTGACCCACTTCCTTCATCAAAACGATAGTCATATTACATTTTGGGTTTTAAAAACAAGTCATCGTACAGTTAAAGGTAAATAAGATTAAATTTCCCACCACGGTTTTGGAAAGATAACGTAGGACACTGTAACATGCTCAGATCCATCTTCAGCAGGCTCACCTGTGCACACAGGACAGGTGTGAGTGTGTTGATAGCCACTAATAGGGGTGTAATAGTCTCCACAGGTCTCAGGGCAGAACACATCTGAGTTTCGTGCGTACATCCTGGCCCTCACTAACACATACCCCCATGGATATCACATTCCACTCAGCTAAAGAACCGTGAGAGTGGTGGGTGCGACAAACTAAGGCCGGGACCCTGACAACACACGAGTACCCTTACACCTCGATCAGGCCCTCCCAAGAGGCGCTGAGGTGCATCGCTGAAATTCAAGCAGCACACTGTAACTGCTGAGAGGCAGAGCAGCTCATCCTTAAAGATGCAATTTCTCAGGGAGCAAGGTGACGCGGGGGATGCAGGGATGGAAAGTGACGGAAAGTGACAGATGAAGCCTTCAAAAACACGGAATAAATGTCGAAATCATCAAACTGCTGGGACTTTAATTTATTAGTATTTTAATGGCAGAGGCAGGAGCTGGGAAGGAAAACAGTAGTTGGCCGTGAATCGAATGAAAAAGTCAAATTTGAAAACAGCTGCAAATGTGTCACGCAAAGCACAGAGAATATGAACATTTCCTTTCTGTAAAGTTCTTCCTGTGTTCACAGATATTTCCTTTGGCAGCTCCAGCTTCCTACCAATTTACAAATGAGTGCAAGTCTGATGGGACAGGAGGCTGTTTTTTTGCCCATTAGTGTGAATGTCAGTACGAGGGTGTGTGTCTGTACTACCGACCTGGCCAGGTTGTTTCCATGTCTTTAAGCCAGTGCAATATAGGGCTGGCTCACCACATTTTTTATGAAACTACTATATAAAAATATAAATTAATTATAACTGCTACATCCTTAGTCGTGCCTTATATTTGGCCCAGTTAGAGAAATTACAATTTTATGAGCCGCACCAGACCAAAATAGGAAATGTGTCGAGAATTACTATGTTTGCCATTTGGCAGTGTGTGTGTGTCTGTGTGTGCGTGTGTGTGTCTGCTTGGCAGTTAAGAGTCATTAAAAGAGGGTGTGAGGGAGCCATCCAGTGGTTTCTAATCACTAATGAAAAACAGCACTGACAACTGCAAGAGATCACAAATACTCACAGACAGTGTAAACACGACATGGAGCACATGTGTATCCATTCAGAAACACCCATTCACTGTTTCCCTTTGGCTTGTTGCTCCTTATGGGTGCAAATGCTGTTTTTACCCTTTTTCTGTGTCCCAACAAATGTGATAAGCCTAAGTATACAAATAAAGACATGCACGCACAGAGAAGCTCTTTGTTTTGTACTCTGGTTAACCAAAATCAAAACAAAACAAAATGTGATTTCTCTCAAAAATGCTTCTAATTACATGGCACTCATACGCAAAAGTTAAATAAAATCAGGGGTTTTACCAACAATGAGGGGTCCGTTTGCATATAAGACACTAGGAAGCCATCTTCTGTAGTGACCAAACTCTCTCAACTTTTTTTTTCATTTCTTTATTTTTTTTGACTTGGGTTTCCCCCTCGTGTATTTTACTGTTGTTTTTTTTCATTGTATAGTATTGATTCCAATAAGTGTATGTTGTGTTCAATTAGACTCATTGAATCCTCCTGTGTGGTATTGGCAGGCCAGCAAGTCAGACATGGCAGTGGTGGGTGGTCTGTGAGTAGGTGAAAGATGGGTGAGGACATTTTGTGACAAGTCGTTCAGTCACCCTGTTTGCTTCCTGAGCCAATAACCGTGGTCTCTTCCAGGCCACAATCATAAAGAGGATGTTTTTGGTCAGAGCTGATCTGCACTTTCTCAGCCAAAACTCTATCACTTCAAAAGCTTAGCCCCTGAACTGTTTGTTTACCAGCTGCACAGCAATGACAGAATTACAAACAGTGTGTCGACTGCAGTACAGATCTTCTGAGCATTGTATTTGACACTCCGACAGGCACTGGGTTCTAGCAGTAGTAAAAGCATTTCTTTCTCACTGTAATCCGTTGTATTATTATTAAACATTGTTCTTGGTTTTTAACAGCAGCCTTGTTTTAATCTTTGGTCTTCCTCGTCTACCCTCTTCTGAGCAAGGCTTGAGTTTCACACAGCTGTGTAAGGTGGGACCAATGTGGTGATTTGTAGCTCCGTAATGCCACTGCCACTGCTCTGCCTCTCCTCCCAGACATTGAGATAACAGCTCTCACCTTACCTCCTTCAACAACTAAAAGGGCCACAGGGGGCGTCAGGGGTGTGTGAGGGCACCAGGGTGACCTGAGGGCACATGAGGCAAGAAGAGACGAGGAGGAGGATGTGCAGGTGTCTAAACACCCTGGGTTGTTAACAGGTGCCCTGCACCTGTGCCACACGTGCGCAGGCATTTACATGCACACACCATGTATATCTGTGTGTTACCACTGAAACAGTTATATAAAAGCTGGGTTCTAATCTCTCTATGGACTTACTCAGTTGTTCTTCACCTGCAACCATTATTTTGAGTCTTCTTTTGGTAAATATTGAGTCTGACATGAACCTCCACCAAAATCAGGTTCTGGTAACCTGTAACAAGACACCTATTATAGATTCATTTACGTTATTTAACTGTGTATTTCTAATTAGTGTTTTGTTGTTTTTTTTAAATAATTTTGAACAGTTTTATATTTCGGAATAAGCAGCAAACCTGCCATACTAAAATGAATATACTTCTCTAGGGAAATACTTTTTTTTGGATAAATTAATATAATTACATATAAATTTAAATTTAAACAATTATATTTTGAATACCGTAGAAAACATTTTGAAGTAACAGTTATCAAGTGTTTATCTTTTTTCTTGTCAAACAAACAAAAAACGTTGAGATTCTTAGGTGAGTCTAATGTTAATTTTGTGCAAACTAAGCTTTTTCCTTGTAGGTGGTTGATTCAACAGCTGGAGTTTTCTTTCAGATTGAAGGCAGAAGGGAGTTTAATCAGGAGCCACTGTTCCAAAAGAGTGGCCTTCATCTGCCACAGGGAGTTAGCTGTTTAAGAAGTACTCCCCTAAAGGTGACATGGATGGGGAGGTAAAACACAGGGGTGAGGCATCTGGTGAGGGTGGGAGATTTGGAAGTTACATTTTGTTCAAACTGTCATTAAAAGACATCAGTAAACAGCTCTGTTGCAGTAAGCATCCAACATAAATCAAAACCAGATTCATCAAGTACATATGAGTGTATGTTCTCTCACACACACACAGATTTTGCTCAACGTCTGGACAGCATTATATGGTGAAGAGAGGAATCCCTCTCCGGTCCCAGCCCCACCTAATTATAGTCTGCATCAGTAAAGACTGTGAGCTCTCATGAACACAGTTAATCACTATAATGTGGCTGAGAAAACACACAAACACACATGCATGCAAGCACACATAAACATTTCTGCTCCAGTATGGTGCCGTCAAACATCCGTGTCGTCTGTTGTGGCAAACAGCACTTACTATAAATGTTACAAAAATGAAAAAAAAAAAAAGTCGGAAGACGTGCAGAACACAGTGTCATCGTGGACGTCTCTGCACTATCATCTGATTAACTTGATAATGACAGCCGACTAAAGCACACTGTGGGAACCGTAAACAAAAATGTTCCACAAACAATAGCAAGCTGGGTTTCATGTGATGAACCCTAAAACCCTGTGCCTGTGAACGGAGCAAACAGGGAAGTGTGGTAGAGCAGCAAATCCCCAAATGATAAACAGAGAACGGGCTTAATGTACATACAGGTTTGTTGAGTTGTCCTCTGAAGACAAATAATGAACTTGGCTGCATGTAAACTGTGGTTGGGAAAAACAAAGGCTGCTGATTAAATGCAGTGGATTTTGCCTGCACAGATGCCTGTCTGTCTTAGTGAGATTCTTATGCTTGTTTTGTAGACAACTATAATAACACTTGTAGATTTGGTTATAAAATTAATTAAAATCTGAATGATGGATGATTGATCAAAAACAAAGCAACATATCCTTAAAATATATACTATATTTTACAGATACAAAGCTGCAGTTTACATTTTGATATTGCAAACCTCAGCTGATAGAAAACCCAAGCCATATATTTCCTTATAAAGAAAAGCATTTTTTTAAAGTCAGTTCCACAGTTTATTTTTTCCTACCTGTTTTTTCCTATCTGTTTTGGTGCAGAAAATTCAACATACGTTTATGTGATTGAAAATCAATAATTATCTCCAACTGTCCATTTATAATTCCTTCCTAATTAGTTATTAATTAGTCTAAGGAGCAAAACATTTCAATCGTATTTTTCATTTCATGTTTAAATGCTGTTTTCAGTGTTGTCACTAATGATGTTGCCTAATGTTTCTTATTTTTGCTTCTGTGACTTTTTTTAGCCAATTGTCACTGACCTCAGAGTGAGAATTAAGGTGAGACATTGTTTGCTGCACTTAGTCATAAACACTTTAAATCCTGAATCTTAAAACAGAATGTTTTAAATAGGAGAACCCTCATTCATCATGTTAAATTAAGAAAAACTCATTTATTTGCAAAGAAAGAAGTACAAAGCATAAAAAGATTAAAAGTGGGGTACATTTTAAAAAGCATAATGATGCATTATAAGTTACAAGAATGTGTTTTTTGTTTTTAAATCCAGGTCCAATCAAGTCCTGGTTCCTGTGTGTGGTTGACTTCTGCTGTTGCTCATGAATCGTTAGCTTCTTCTCCATTCACCTGGGGTTTGTTGTCCTCTTTGGCACCTCTCTTGTTCTGTCCACTGAAATACTTCTCTCTAAAGGCGTTGTGTCCCTGGTAGAGGCTAACGTGTGGCTCTGCCATTTGAGCTAGGCTGTCGCACTCCTGCAGAGTCAAACACACAAGAAGACACTGGGTTTTTATATGGTGCAGTATGCAGTACATTTATGGCTATTTATTTCTTTTACTTCTCTTCTGTTTAAGCAGGTGTCAGCTGCAAACAACATGTAATAACACTGTTAACATGAATGTTATCTTCGTGTCAAACTCCAATCTATTTTTCACATTTGCAGTCACTCCACTACTCCCCTTACATGATTGCATATTAGCAACATCCCATGGTTTGCATGCCTTTTCCATGTTTGCATGTCAGACCAGGGTTGTGCTGGTGTAGCTGAACAACTGTGAATCCCTACAACTAAACAGTTTGTCTTGGCCGCAAGGTAGCTGACGTTCTATGGAGGTATGAAGGAAGAAGAAGAGGTGCTGGAAGAGGAATAATGAGGAGAGCCCAGCTGGAATGATGACTCCGACGCTGGGGCCTGTAAGTTTTCAGCAACACCTCTCATTTGCATGTTTACGCTGCCAAGCAACCTAAAAAACATTTTCCGTGGCCAAAGTGGTAACAAAAGTGACAACCTAAACACACACCCAAATTAATGAAAATAATTACAGAATAACTGCAAACCAGGGGAATTTCCACAGGGTCCTAAGTATCAATCAGACAGGTGAAGGGAATGATCAACACAGATCTGATGCTAGTATGTCAGAGGGCAAGGATTTACAATATGTGAAGATTAAGGGAGGCCTTGCTGATCTTTCTTCACAGGAAACATTTCCTTTCGCGTGTCAGGTGTCATGTCAGTGTGTTCATGTTGGAGGATTCAGAGGCTTCAGACAAATGCAGAGTCAGGGATATTTGGCAGAGAGAAAAAGAGAGAGAGAGATTGAAAAAGCTGACAGTCAGACAGGATCAAACAAAGTCATGTCTGTGTGTGTACGTGTCGTACAAGGCTCTTCATGGGAACAATTTGAGGTTTCAAGAGGAATGAATGACAGATCCAAAGATGGATTGTTTTCTATGCAGTGTGTGATTAGACCATTGAGGGCCGCAGTATGAATGAGACCATCCCAGCACAGATAGTGAGTGAGAGACAGCACATCACTTTCATCCAGATGATATGTTAGACAAGACAACATACACAGTTCTGATTCCATGCATTTAGACCTTTAGTACACACTTGTTGGTGCTGTGAAACTATATATGACCTAAACCACAGATTTACAACTCTGGGTCCAATTAATTTAAGGGTAGGTCAAAAGGTTTTATGGCGTTGAAAAAAAAAAAAAACAAGTCACAAGGCTATCCCTACATACTTTTAATTCATTTCTAAACTTATCTGCAAGGAGGATTGTTTCTTCTTAGAATTCTGGGACAGTTGTTTTTCACAAAATCCCAACTGTAATCAATTTTCTTTTAGATGTATTTTCAGTTTTGTGGAAAAGGAATAACAAAAAAACGTGTTGCTTTACAGTACTAAACGAGTTTACATGGTTTCCATTTAAAAATTGTTTGAAATTTGATGTTTGGTGAGGTTTCAAACCTAAACCTAGATTATATATTATATGTGTTATGTATCTTGTTTTAGACAAATATTTACCTGTATTGGTTAACCATTAGATATATTTTAGCTAATATTTTGCAGATTTTTCTACATTTTTGGCCTTTTTTACCCATACCTTGTTAAACTCTCATTTATTTCCTGACTTGATTCCATTTATTTTATTTTTTAAATGCTAAAACCCTATTTTGAGAATCCTGGAGAGAAATATTTGCAAGTGGGTTTTGTAGTAGGTCAGGACTAATGCACACACACCTCTGGTTCCTTGATTTTTTCCATGGTGATCAGACGACGTGAGGTGTGGCTGGAGAGTGTCTGCTCACAGTTACTGATGAGCTGAAGACATGGATGGAGAGGAATCGCTGCCTCACAGTATCTAAAAAGAACACATATACAAACACACAAAGTTATTAATCAACCACCAAAAGAAAACACACGACATAATCTAATCATAATAAACCTAGACCATGAGAGAGCTGATACTGGCACAACAGACTTACTGTGTCAAAATTGCTTTTCACTACTTTCCCGATGATCCACGTCAATGTCTTTGTCTGTACAGGTCTGAGTCAGTTTCTTTACTATCTATCAAGTCCCAAAACATCTGTGTGTTTGACGAACCGCTGATAAAGCTGAGTTTCTGCCCAGAGACAAAGCTGGAAAAAGTGACCGACTTGACATATCGACTGCCATCCATGTCTGTCATCGCCAGTCAAACCTGGTTGGGAACTATTAACAGAATATGAGGTATGTGTTTGCATGCTTTTATTGGTAGCACTTTCTCTATCACGGTAGCAACAGTTTTGATTTGCACTTTACTGTTTGTCTGCTCATGTTGCCATGGCTGGATGTCTTGGTCATTACATCGACCAAGTGATGCAACCAGGAGAAAATTCTCTCCAGTCAATCAAAAATGTTACTGATGATGAGCAAAGTGGTTATAAAAATAAAAATAATAATAGTTACAAAAGAATTGCGTATAACTCCCATCTCAAATAACTTAGCTATGTCCGTTTTTGTGGTTAAAATTCAGAAAAAATGAACTTTTTTGGAAATGCCAACTTTTGAGCACACTGATATACTATACCAATAAGATC